ACCTTTGATTATTTTTTCAAATAAATAGTTGTACTGACGTTTCCTCAATGATTTCAGATTTTCAAAATTTTCATCTCATGCTCTATACCCGAGCTCTGAACCCTATTTAAGTGGGGGTAAGAGCGACGCCTTTGTGTGAATTTATTCACCGCATATGCCTAGAAAGTAGCCTTCGAGATTCATGTACCTTATGTCTTCGTGTGAATTTATTCACCGCACAAACATAAGAGAATGTGTCATCTCGAGTTTAACTTAGTCCATATAAGTTTGTAATGGGCTTAGGACTAAGGGTCTGGCAAGCCCAAGGGGGCACTGACAAGGAGAACTCGGATACCGTTTTTTAGAACATAAACTAGGAGACTATGGAGAATTAGAGCCTACCCCAAAACCTCATTCCAAACCATAGGCTACTTTCTTTCCTGCTTTACTTTTTGTTCAAACCATGCAAACTAGACAAATAAGCGGTTAGGATTTGTTTGAAATTAGCATGCAGGATAGAGATCATGTTCGGGTAGGAATAATAAACATGTGGGATAGAACTTTTATTTTCATGATTGTTTTGATTATTATCTTTACCTCACTAACACTTTTCATTTTTGTTCTCTTTTATTTTATTTTCATCATTTACATCATTTAAAAGAGGTGTTGATCCACAAAAACATGCTCGTTAAACGTAAATAATTTGTATTAATGGACAAAGGGGTTGTAATGCAAGAGATGAAAATGCAGAGGACAGTCTACAAGGTGACTATATGTCACATTCAATCCAGAAGGCGTGGTGCCCACAATTAAATAGTATATTACTCTGCTGCATTATAAAGGACTCAGAATGAACCGGGTCTACATCAAGCACAATGAAAGTCTATCTTTGAAGAACTGACTGGCAGAGGTTCCAGGGGCAAGATGAAGGTTACTGATATTGTGAGTCCTTTCAAAGACAACAATGGCTGAAATTGAAGACCATTGCTGACAAATTCAAGAAACAAACAAATGAACTTCACATAATTCCTATCAATTGAGAGCTCCAATGGCGTATTCATTGGGAACAGGTTCAACAAAAGATAAATGCCAGAGATGTAGTCATTCGAGACTTCTTGGACCAGTACAAAAAGTAACTCAATATTTGCAGAATTCATCCAGAGAAGCCGGAGCGATTCGACAGGTTATTCAACCGGTGACAGATGAAGGCAGAAGGCTAGTCAACCTGTCAGAAGCTGTCAAAATATTTTTGTTTCTTAAAAGATAAAACACTTTTGTCCCCAATAAAGATTATTTATAATAACAAACATGTTTTCGGATCAATACCTCAAGCATTTCATGCATTTTTGCATCTACATTTCATTTTTAAGCATTTTCATAAACATGAAATTTCTTCATGGAGGATTCGATGTAGTGTTCTTAATCACGTGACACCATATGGAAGAAAGATTTTAATAATTAAAACTGAAATCAGTACAGTGGGAGCATGATCAGCTGAATATATGGCCAAGCCTGCCAGGATAATCTGATAAAAGAGTCCATATATCCTAAGAGCTACGATGTTGAAGCTGTGTATAGTTATCACATAGGAAACTCTAGACATTCCTCTAAGAACTGTAAGACACTGAAACACAAGATTTAAAACTTGATGGATTTAAGAGAATGGACAATCGAAGAAGGGGACATTGCATCTACCATTCGCACTGAGAGCATTGTTTTGTTTGAAAGCATTTTGATCTTTCATGTTTGCTTAAAGGGCTTTTTGATCTTTCATGTTTGCTTAATCCTTTAAACGATTAAATTTATGCTACCTTCTAAGGTTGAATAATTGCAAATTTTAATCTTTAGTTCTTTGAATATTAAATGAATTAAATATTCTTTTAATTCTTAAAGAATTATAAATTTTTGACATATGGCAAGATCATACCTTTCTTATCCTGTTAAAAAAAACAAAAAAAATCCTTCGATTCTTTACCCAGAATAATCCATAGAGAGTCATAACGATACCTTTGAGTCAATAAAGTCACACCATTGTCCTTTTAGGCGTAAACCCAACATTTTTTACCAATAAAACCTAAGGCATTAAGTACAAGATGTTCACTTTAACATGAACATTCTTACCAGAAGACACAACTTGGGGCATCTCACATCAATTTTCTGAAGATGAGCTTGTACAATTAAGGCATGCTAGGGACAAGAAACAGAAAGGAAAATTAATTCGAAATAATTCTATCATGTATTAATTATATTTTTTATGTGAATAAAATTTATCCTGAAAATCTATCCCCCTAGGGATACCTCTTCTGCAAAGACTTTTGCGTATGAGATGATGAACGGCTTTGTTTCATTTATCCATATATGTATATATATCCCTTGTTGTCCCCTTTTGAGCCTATAATATTTTTTCTTCTGATTCAACCCTAACCAAGGATCACCCCCACACTGGGGGGCAATGTGGAAGAAATCTGCTCATATGAGTGAAGACATCAAATCAGAGGAGATATCAAAAGGTGAACCAAATACCAAGTACGAAGCTCCAATCAAACAAAAAAGAAAAGAGGCAAAGAAAAAATAAATAAAGAAAAAGGGACGAGAATCGACTCAAATGACACATCAAGCATCAAACTATGAGATTGATCAAGCACAATTATTGCCGAATCACTTCACTCGAAGATCATAGAGCATCAAGAGAGAAACACATACGAGTATATTCAAATTTAGCAAGACATGATTGAAGGCATCAGAATGAATTGATCATTGGTTCAATACCCTGAAACACTTGTTTGAGCCTATTTATCCTTTTCTTTTATAACCATGATCCATGGCCTACGTTACGTGCCTTAAAAAGTCCCTTCTAATCATACATGGATTTCTAAACAGAAGAGACTATCTTCATATTTCATCTCGTACATCAGGATTAATCTTTATTTGCAAAGGTTTTCTAAAATCTTTAATGCATGATAGAGAAAATAACAAAGGGGGTTCATGACTTAAATTTTGAATGACATCTTGAAACCAAAGGAGAGTTCGAGTTGAAAACCTAAAAAGGCGGTTCGAATATAAATATGGTGCAGCTGAGGCGATTGCACAAATTCCTTGATAAGGCATCGCACAATCCGAGTGTGGCCATGAAAGCTAGTAGCCGGAGAACACTTCCAGTAGATGAGCATACAAGCTATCCCGCCAAATCAGATAACATCAAAGAAATAAGAAAGCCAAACTATTGACTAAACATAATAACCTGAGACTCTTTTATCCTTTTCTTACTTAACCATTTCCCAAAGATAGCTTTGATCTTGACACTTGTCAAATAGCTATAATTTATTGAAGGATTAACATTGTAATTAATTCTTTGATGTCTAATGAACTCTAGTTTTATGATTCGTCTCAATTGTGAAACCTAGAAAGGGGCAATATTTTCAAAACTTTTTGATCAAACATTTTTTTCAAAACTCTTCTGATTGATATTTTCAGATCTCGAAAATAAAAGAAGAAGAAAAACATTTTTCTAACAAGTCAATCTCTACAGTGAATCTTGGTATTTGGCATGTGACCCTCAGACATAAAGCTTATGCTTAAAATCAGCAAATGAGGATCATTGGTGGCATTTTTGAATCATCAAATGTTGGGGCATCTTTTGAGATTCAACATCGAATATTGGGGCATCTTTGGGGATTTAACACCTGATGCAAATTTTCAGATCTTCTAAAGGCTTTTCCTCCACATGCAAGAATCGACAGACAAAGCACGAGACTCCATCCAAGAGATAAAACAGAATTAATTCATGTTGCATGCATCTTAGACATACTTAAGAGCATCACATTTATCATTTTTAGCATAAATAATTTTTTGCAGTTTTTTTAGTCAAGTTTCAACCTCAAGATGAAAGATACTCGATTCAAAAGCACATTCAAAAGTTGATGGTGGTTGTGTTGAAAACATTTTGATATTTTGATATAACAAATTAAGATAAATGAATTTTAAGATTTTCCAAAAAAATATTTTCTAAGTATATTCGATATAATTATTCGAATATCAAAATATTACTCCAAGACTTTCAAAGTTCATTTTAATCCTTACTAAAGTGAAAAATTGTGTTTTATACTTAAACTATTTTAAAACAATTTTACAAAGTATTTAGAACTGTTTCAAAGCTAAGAAAAATCAGATTGTGTAGGGGGTACAGATTCCCCCTACAGGTTTTTGGCTCCGAGAAAACAGAATGTCCAAGGGGTACAGATTCCCCCCCAGGGGGTACCGATTCCCCCCAGGGGGAACAGATTCCCCTCAGGGGGTACCGATTCCCCCCAGGGGGAACAGATTCCCCTCAGGGGGAACCGATTCCCCCCTGTCTAACGGTCGAAATCATATTATACTTAGGGAACCGATTCCCTATGAGGGGATACCGATTCCCCCCACGCTCCAAGCTGTTTTATTAATGGATTCTCATCTCCAAACGACTCCAAAACATCCCCAACGGCTATATACGACTTCAAACACATTCCAAGCTATAAATACAAGCTAAGGACACTTGAATAAGTAATAGAACAACTATCCAAGCAATCAAACAAAAGAGAAGAGTTTTTCATTATTATTTCATCTTTCTCTTGTATATATTTTGTTCTTGTGAGCTCAATCTTGTAACCACCTACCTTAGAGAGGTTTTCTTGTTTACATTTTTTATCCTGTTGTAAAGGGGAAAGGTTCTAGCTTAGCCCGTGTAAAAGCTACGGAAATGTTCTAGTTTAGCCCGGAAAAACTAGGGAGTTTGTAAGGTTACTCTTTATCCTCAAAAGAAAGAACAAATTAGTGAATTTGTTGGAAAATCCTTGGTGAGGAGCTAAGGTAGTGGACGTAGACTTTGATTGAGAAAGTCGAACCACTATAAATCACTGTGCAATTCTCTATCTTTCAATCTCCTTACTCCCTAAACACAAAACCGTTCCGACCCCTCTTTGCAAACCGTTCTGGTTATCGATTCGAGCTTCCAAAAAACCCAACAATTGGCATCAGAGCTTGACTCATTTGAAGGTTTAACCGCCTCTTGAGTAGATCCGGGAAGAGTTACATCGATAATCAAAGTCATCAATGGCCTTCACTTCAAACGTCGACTCCGGTCTCGATTCGATGCCCGTCAATAAGCCTCATTTCTTCAATGGAGCTAACTATGCCTATTGGAAGAATAGGATGATGTATTTCATTCAAGCCAGTGACATGGGAGCATGGAATATTGTAGAAGATGGATATATCAAACCTCTCACTCATCCAAGATTGTGGAGTGAATGAGAGACAATAATGTTCCAGCTCAACTCCAATGCTAGTCGTATCATATTTTGTGCTCTTGGACCAGATGAATATGGAAGAGTTTCATCTTGTACAACTGCCAAAGAAATATGGGATAAACTACAAGTCACTCATGAAGGTACCAAAGAGGTAAAAGAATCTAAAATTAGTCTTCTAACACATAGTTTTGAAAATTTCAAGATGAAACCAAATGAAGATATCAAAGCTATGACGGATAGATTCTAAACTATTGTCAATGGTCTCAAATCATATGGAGAGATCATTCCTAACGAGAAGCTTGTGAGGAAGTTAGTTTACTCACTTCCAAGATCATGGCAATCCAAGAAGATGACAATCATCGAGGCTAAGAACCTAAAGTCCTTAACTCTTGAAGAGCTAATCAGTTCTCTCCTCACTCATGAAATGATGCTTGAATATGAGGTGGACCTCGATAAGATTGAAGAGACACCAAAGGAGAAGGAGAAGAAGAAAAATATTGGAGTTGCTCTCAAATCCACAAAAGATGAGAGTGATTCGGATGTAGATGATGATGACGAGGAAATGGCATTGCTTGCCAAACGGTTCATAAAAATGATGAGACCTTACCGAGGAAGAAAATTCAAACGAAATGAAGGCCTAAAAAATGAACCAAAAGAGAAGGACCCGATTATTTGCTATGAATGCAAAAAATCGGGGCATGTCAAATATGATTGTCCATAATTGAAGAGAAAGGGTCAATCAAAGAATAAGCACAAGGATCATGTGGCTACATGGAGCGATGAAGAAGGTTCCGATGAAGAGGAACAAGAAGTAGCAAACTTGTGCTTGATGGCATTCGGGGAAGATTATAAGGTAACCTCTAACTCATCTGATTTTGATGATTTATCTTATTATGAGCTATTAGAGGAATATAATGGGTTGGCTTTGGATTATGAGAAATTGTTTTTAAAATATAAAAATGATGTTTCAAAATTAAAAAATGAAAATAAACTCATATCCAAAACCAACAACGATCTTGAAAGTAAAATCAAAGATTTGCAAATCAAACTAGAAGAGTTTGAAAAGAAAATTTTGGATTTGCAAAATTTACTTTCAAAGGTCAATAATGATCATCAAAATAAAATTGATGATCTTAAAACCTCTTTTGATAAAGTTGGAACAAAATGTTTCCAGAATGGAGAAAATTCAAAATCCAACTTTGTTAGAAAAAGTTTTAAAAACTAAAATCATAGAGGTCCCCGAAGAACCTCTAATGGAAAAATCGTTAGAAGTATATGGGTTCCTAAAGAGCTCATTACTACTAAAGATAAGGATATCCTACACAAATGGATACCTAAGGGGACTAGGATTTTGGAAACTAATGAATATGGACCCAAAAGAATTTGGGTACCAAAAATTAGAAATTAATCTATGTTTGTAGGAAAAAGAGCATTGCTACAAGGCACGAGAAACAGAATCAAATTTATGGTACCTTGATAGTGGATGCTCGAGACACATGACCGGAGACAAAAGCCGGTTCATAGAGCTTAACGCCAAAAATGGAGAAGTGACTTTTGGTGATAATTCAAAAGGTTACATCGAAGGTAGAGGACGTAGACTTTGTTTGAGAAGTCGAACCACTCTAAATCGTTGCGCAATTACCTTCAATTTTCTGCACAAGCTTCCACCGGAATTTTTATTTGCCAATTCACCCCCCTCTTGGTCATATTCATAGATCGATTTCAGTATAAGCAAAGGGATAGTGCAAGTGTTCTAGACCTTCATGACTGTTTTCTTCACCTAATGATCTCTTGGTGGTTTCGACCATCCGGAGTCCGTTACTCTACTCTTTGAGCCTTAGATCTATTTTGGCTTCATTGTGTCCAAAATAATCTCAAAATTAACCTTCCACAGATTATTTTTGCTGAACTTATCGAAACCGTAAATCTTGTTCTCAATAAGAAATTATGTTCTTCTTTAGTTTACGGTTGTATTCTTAGTAATCTATTTAAGAAGGCTAGGCTTAGAGTTGGTCTTGATGCTTCCTTTCCCCTCAAAAACCAAATCAATCTATTTTCTTTAACTAAATCGGGATGGAAGATCAATGAAGAAATTGGTCTTTGGGTTCGTACCGGTGAGCAACCTCTGGAAGAAAACTACTCCGACAATGAGCCAGAGCAGCACGAGGAACAAGCACCTCCAGAGGAACAACCTCGTCCAGAGTATCAAATGCCTCCATACTTCTGATCTTTTATAGAGAATATTGATTTGAGGCTTGCATCTATCGATTCAAATCTGACTGCTACCACAGAAATGATGAATCGTCGTTTTGATTCGTTGGATGAAAGGGTCGATGCACTTTCACGTGATGTGACCAATATTTGGTCACATTTATCTCCTCCTGATACACCGATGGACGATTAGGCCTTGTTCTTACTTATCTTTAATGGATCAAATTTTCAAACTTATTGTTTTAACATTTTGGATATTTTGGAATGTTTGAATTTGTGGATTGTTTGACTTTGAATTTGTTTGAATTTATGGATGTTTGAACTTATATTTCTATATATTTGGTTTGGTTAAATTTATTCATTATTGCATAATTTACATCAATTAGATATATGACCAATTTTTCCATGTCACATTGTTTATGAATATTGCTTATGAAACTAATGGCTAACGTTTCTATTGATTGTGATCTTAGCAGCTTAAGCTATATATATTTATAATCAATTGGTTAAATGATTTCAAAACCTTGTTTAAAATCTTTTAAAAGTATTTTTGATTTAACAAAAAGGGGGAGAAATGTTAAAGTGTTTAAAAGGGAGAAGTGTTAGAGTAAGGGGGAGTAATTTCAAAACTTGATTTCAAAATCTTAAAATTACTAAAATATTTTGTTATATCAAAAAGGGGGAGATTGTTGAAAACATTTTGATATTTCGATATAACAAATTAAGATAAATGAATTTTAAGATTTTCCAAAAAAATATTTTCTAAGTATATTCGATATAATTATTCGAATATCAAAATATTACTCCAAGACTTTCAAAGTTCATTTTAATCCTTACTAAAGTGTAAAATTGTGTTTTATACTTAAACTATTTTTAAAACAATTTTACAAAGTATTTCGAAATGTTTCAAAGCCAAGAAAAATCAGATTGTCTAGGAGGTACAGATTCTCCCCCAAGGGGGTACAGATTCCCCCCAGGGGGAACAGATTCCCCCCTGTCTAATGGTCGAAATCAGATTGTACTTAGGGAACCGATTCCCTATGAGGGGGTATCAATTCCCCCCACACTACAAGCTGTTTTATTAATGGATTCTCATCTCCAAACGGCTCCAAAACATCCCCAACGGCTATATATGACTTCAAACACATTCCAAGCTATAAATACAAGCTAATGACACTTGAAGAAGTAATAGAACAACTATTAAAGCAATCACACAAAAGAGAATAGTTTTTCATTCTTATTTCATCTTTCTCTTGTATATATTTTGTTCTTATGAGCTCAATCTTGTAAACACCTACCTTAGAGAGGTTTTCTTGTTTACATTTTTTATCCTGTTGTAAAGGGGAAAGGTTCTAGCTTAGCCCGTGTAAAAGCTAGGGAAATGTTTTAGTTTAGCCTAGAAAAACTAGGGAGTTTGTAAGGTTACTCTTTATCCTCAAAAGAAAGAACAAATTAGTGAATTTGTTGGAAAATCCTTGGTGAGGAGCTAAGGTAGTGGACGTAGACTTTGATTGAGAAAGTCGAACCACTATAAATCGATATGCAATTCTTTATCTTTCAATCTCCTTACTCCCTAAACACAAAACCGTTCCGACCCCTCTTTGCAAACTGTTCTGGTTGTCGATTCGAGCTTCCAAAAATCCCAACAGGTTGCTCGACCTCACAGCGAAGGGGGGACTGTCTGATGAAAAAATAACTTTCTGATTCTTGTTCAGAGTCAATTTCAACTTCACAGCGAATGATATTGAACTCGAAGCGACGCAATTTATTTGAAATTGGATTTCAACTCCACGACGGAGGATATCCAACTCAAAGCAACATATAAGATTGGATTTCAACTTCAAGACGAAGGATATCCAATTCAAAGCTCAACTTCACGACGAAGGGGCTTCCCAGTTTCATTCAGAGCAAATTTCAACTTCACGGCGAAGGATATTGGACTCGAAACAATACAAGCTTGGATTTCAACTTCACGATGAAGGATATTCAAGTCAAGGCTCAACTTCACGACGAATGGGCCATCTACGATTTCAACTCCACGATAGAGGATATCGTGCCCACGAGACAACACGAGCTCAACTTCACAGCGAAGGGGCGACTGATTGTCAACAAATAACTTTTCAGATTCAATTTCAACTTCACGTCGAAGGATATTAGACTCAAGATAACACAAGCTCAACTTCACAGCGAAGAGGCGGCTGGCTGTCAAGAAACAATTTTCCAGTTTCAGAGTCAATTTCAACTTCACGGCGAAGGATATTGGCCTCGAAACATCATAAATATTTGGATTTTAACTTCACGACGAAGGGAATCGTGCGAACCAAAGACTTTCGAGTTCGACTGCACTCAGCTCAAAGGCACATCATTTGCAACATAGTTTAAGTTGAGAAGGGTTATCTGCTAACCAAATACCTTCGAGTTCGACTACGCTCAGCTCCAAGGCACATCATTTGCAACATAACTCAAGGCTAGAAGGGTTATCTGCCAACAAAAGACCTTCGAGTTCGACTACGCTCAGCTCCAAGGCACATCATTTGCAAC